ATTTCCGGGCTCCAATTCCAATACTTTCAGGTATAATGCATACGACTGAAGGGCAAAAGAAAATTTACCATTTTTTAAATACATAAAACATGTAGTTACTACACATGCAAATATAAATAAGGTATGTTTGCCTTTGATCTAACAAAATATATCAAGAGTTAGCGGGTGAGTTAAATAAAAACTTTTCTCCACTCGTTCCTCGATCTCAAAATTTTGACCATACGCACATACATATGTATGTATGCATATATACATATATAGATATGTAGGTACGTATGTATGCAATTAAGCCATTTTACCTCTTGCCTTTCTCCGTCACAATAAGTGGCTTCTGCTAGCCTTAATCTGGCCTTCAGGTTATCTGGCTCCAACTGAAGGCATTGTTCACAATCTTTGATAGCGTCGGAATACCATTTAAGTTTTATTTCTAAAAAAAAAGATGAAACGGAAGTAGTAGCATTATATCCTACTAATTAAAGGTTAAACTACGTAGTCGTGAAATATACGAAAAGCTCTCACTGAAGCCGAAGTTCCACGGACGTATAACTCAAAATATACGAGTTCGTTGGTCCGTCGTTAAGACCATATTCTGCATAGGAATTTTCGTATGCATCGTACCAACCCCCCGTAGCGGAATAGCTCAGCTGGCAGCCCGCTGACCCTTCAGCTCCAGAAGCTTTTTTGTTAAGCCGTGAAAGTGCTATTCGCAACTCATCATAGTCGGACGATGGGCCATCAAATCCGATGCTCATAAGGAAACTGCTTCCATAAAAATATGCTTCTGTGCATCTCGCTATGGACGGATGGAAATCTAATTAAAAACATTTGGTCAATAATGAAGCTTAAACCAGGGGTGCCCATATGGTGGTTTCTTTTTTTTAAATACAAAAAAATTAAAAATTTTTTTCGGTAGATAATTATTGGTTTATTCGAAATAGCAAACAAAAAAAACAAAAAAATGATAAGAAATATAAAAACATCAAATTTTTAATGTAAGAACTATTTATTTAAATCCATCTCACACTCTAATGGAAAGCCGAGGTAATTGCGCACATTTTCTTGACTTAACTGATTTCCTGCGACAAATACGTAGTTTATTAACTGTAGAAAACTCAAAATAAAGACCTATCTGTGAGCTCGAAATTTCGGGAATATTTGACGAAATAAAAAAATAGGTGTGTTCTTTTTTTCGATAAAGAATGTAAAAAAAAATATTTCACACCAAAACAGCATTGAGGTGTAAATTTTGTATGTAATGACTTAAATGTATGTATGTATGTACGTAAATACTTACTCGCCGCGGCACGATTGTTGTACGCTGGCGCCGCTTTCTCTGGACAAATGGTAATGGAGAGATTATACTCGTTAATAGCGTTATCATATTCCTTAGCGCGAAAATAGTCATTACCACGCAGTCGATATCTGTAAATTCATATAAAAATTAATGTGCGTGGATCGAATATACATATTTATCTAGAAAATGTGCACTCACTGTTCTGAAAGACTCTCCCGTTCCACTGCGGTGAGTTTGCTTTTCACGTCGCGTTCCTTGGCATCCCTGTCACCTTCAACATTTCGCTGCGGTTTGGATTTTTGTTTATTGAGTCGATT